ATTTTTTAAATGACTGCTACAGTCAAGTGTGAGCATTTATTTTGTATTGCTGTTTGATTTTTAGTGGCTAGGTGGGTGGAGAGGAAAGGTCATTTATTCTGTAAGAAGGATTGGGAACAATCAGCGTTTAAAGTTTACCTTCAGAAAATAAAATCAAAAAAGCTTAGGGTATTTTAAATGCTACTTACATAAAATGTGATATTTAGTAAAGTTTATTTGTTATCATATATGTTATTAAAGTTAAAAAAACTGCAGTTTTCCAAAAAAAAAGCAAAAATCAGTGTCTCAGAAAACTGAAGAACGCAATGAACTGCCCTTCAGTCCATTTCTCCACTCTTAACAGATAACTAAAAATTCATACTTAATCATCTTACTCAATAGCTTAGAATTCTTTAACAGTTTCCCACTGCCTAGAAGAAAAAGCTCACTGTTCATTAACATAATATGCAAAGTCCTCCAAGATCCAGCCACTAGCTTTTTTCCCAGCTTGATTTCCTATCACTTCTTTGTAGACATCTTAAGCTCTAGCCCAGCTTTTTCCAACGTGTGTTCCAGGGATATCAGTTCAAGACTCACCACAGAAAAGGGGCTCCAGGGTCAAATATATTTTGCAAATTACTTCCAAATACATCTCCCTCTTAAGAGAGGGAATTAGACTATTCCAACCATTATGAAATGCAGCATTTCCCATATGTATTTGACCACAGAATCATTCTGGTGTAACACCTATTAACATGCCCAGGAACATACTTCAAAAAAGCTGTGCCAGCCATACCAAATGACTGCAATACCTAGTACTGGCCATTTTGTTTCAGAATTCTGAACCTTGCATATGTTCCCTCTGCCAGGATGGCTCCTTTCCTCTAGTCGGCTTGGTGAAAGCCTTTCAGGTCTTAGATCAAATCCCTCCTAATTTTTAAAGGCCTGCCCATATTTCCTCTCTCTCTGCCCCTTCCTGCTCCCAGAAAACATTTATTTCTTCTCCACAATTATTTGCCTTTCTGCCTGTCTCCCACAAGGGCATAAACTTTTTTTTTTGTCTTTTTCCGTGTCCGGCAACGGGATCGCAACCCTCAGCGTTGCTCCCGCGCCTCGCCCAGCCAGTGAGCGGGAACCGGTCTGTATGTGGGATCCGAACCCTCGGGCGGGAGCGCCGCCGCGCTTCCCAAGTGGCGCACTATCCAGTGCGCCACCGGGCCGGCCCAAGGGCATAAACTTTTTACACTCTGCTATTTGGTGCTCAATATTCGTTGAATGAATTAACTATTATCTGCAAACAATCTTTAAAATATTTTCTACTTATTATTCCTTAATATTTTTAATGCTTCCCTTTCCCATCTCTGACATATATCTTAAATAATTTAATCTTTTAAAATACTACTTGTTGGGCTGGCCCGTGGCTCACTTGGGAGAGTGCGGTGCTGATAACACCAAGGCCCCGGGTTCGGATCCCATATAGGGATGGCCGGTTCGCTCACTGGCTGAGCATGGTGCTGACAACACCAAGTCAAGGGTTAAGATCCCCTTACCGGTCATCTTTTTTTTAAAAAAATAAATAAATAAAATACTACTTGTTTTAGTCTGTTTTGTGTTGCTATAACAGAATACCTGAGACTGAGTAATTTATAAGGAAAAGAGATTTATTTGGCTTAAGATTCTGGGACAGGGCCGGCCCGGTGGCGCACTGCTACAGTGCACTGCTTGGGAAGCGCGGTGGCGCTCCCGCCGAGGGTTCGGATCCCACATGCAGACCGGCTGCTCACTGGCTGAGCGAGGTGCGGGAGCAGCACCGAGGGTTGTGATCCCATTGCCGGTCCCGGTCCGGTGCAGGCGCGACACTGAGGGTTGCGATCCGTTGCCGGTCACGAAAAAAGACAAAAAGGAAAAAAAAAAAAAAGATTCTGGGACAGCTTCATCTGGCATGGGCCTCAGGCTGCTTCTACTCATGGCAGAAAGCAGCAGGCCGCTGGTGGGTACAAGCAGATCACATGGTGAAAGGAAGCAAGAGAAGCAAGATAGAGAGAGAAGGTGCCAGGGTCCTTTAAACAATCAGGTCTCGTGGGAATTAATAGAGCAAGAACTCACTCACTACCCCTCCTCCCCCAGGATGAGCATTAATCCATTCATGAGGGATCCGCCCCCATGACTCACTCAGTTTCCAACACTGCCACATTGGAGATCAAATTTCCACATGAGTTTTGGAGGGGACAACACATCCAAACCCCATCACTACTTACTTATGCAACACTAGTGCTTCATTTTGTTTGTTCGCACATGACTAGATGGTATTAACAGCATATTCCAACTAATAAAATCTCTTACATAGGTTAACCTTTAGCTAGTAAAAATATTTTCACTTTAGAAATTCATGACTTTCACAGACAAGTGTTTCCTATGGTATTCAATATACTGTACCCAGAAACTCTCTAAAGAAGGGCAACTAAGAACACCACAGATTCAAAGTTCTATTTATGAGAACTTCAAATGTGGAACTTCCAAATTCTAAAACTTAATAAAATCCCAGAATAACATAATATTTATAACACATTACTGCCTTTTCTGTGATCCCATGTCACTTGGGTCAAGACTCTATCATTGCTATACTGTCATAACTTTGCTATACTGTCATTTGCTGCTTGTCTATCTCCTCTGACTAGACTGAGAGCAACTCCAGGGAAGTGGAGATTCATCCACAATAACTGCGAACTCAAAAGTTACTGAATAAAACTACATTCTTTCCCGTTCAATGAGTAAGATCCAAAAGGAGTCTACCAAACTCTGGTAAGACCGAGTAGTGGTATAACAGAAAATGGACTAGGTGCAATCATACAACTAAAATTCCTGACTTGCTTGTGATCTTGTGTTTCAGTTCCTCATTGGTAAAATGAGGATATCTGCTCTAATTTACTGGACTTGTGAAGATTCAAGATCATTCGTTTATTCAGTTAAAAAGCCAATATATATCTTTTTACGTTGATATAAGAAGTTGTTAAATTTGCTTTTTCCATTGAAGCAAACTAAAGCATAATGAATATATTTTTCAAAAATCTTGGCGTGTATAATCCAGTATCTAGTCCTAAATCTTGATTAATCAGGTTTTACAGAAAGCCTCAAAAAATAAAATAAAATAAAATAAAAAAATCCAAGTCACAAAGAATGGTTCCAGCTCAGGGTTGTGGCCCCTGTGATTAAGACAAATCAACTGTGGGCCGGCCCGGTGGCGCACTGCTACAGTGCGCCGCTTGGGAAGCGCGGCGGCGCTC